GGACACAGACCCCATGGCCGTACCTCTGTGGCCTTCCCCTGCGTGCACCCAGAAGTGAGTTCCATCCATCACCAGGGTGCATGCCAAAGCCAGCCACATTAGTACATCACCCTCACTGCCACAACTGGACTCAAGATCTGGAGCCCACCCTGAAAAAGTTAGTCCTTCACTGACACCAGGCCTGGAGTGAAGTCCTTTGTGGCCTCCTACAAGTGAGCATCTGTGGGATCGTCCTACAACCCAGAGGGGGTCCCACGCTGTGCTGACCTGCACCCGGGCACCTCCTGTGCTTCCGTGAATGCATCTGGAACCTCAGGCCACTGCCCTCACCTCAGGCACAGTGGGTTGATGGCTCCTGGAACAAACCCACCTTCACTGGGGGACCACCAGGGCATTTAACCATCCACACCAAACCTTTTTTCTTTTTCTTTTTTTGGTACTGGGGATTGAACTCATAACCTTGTGTTTGCCAGGCGGTAGGCACTTATGCCATTGAGCTATCTCCCAGCCTGTCCATGCCAAGGCTTGCGGGCAAATGTGCTTCTTCCTAGCACTGGACTCACAGGAGTGGTCGGTCTCAGGGACGGGACAGGGAGAGAGATGGTACCCAGATTGTTGGCTAAGGGGGTCTTGGGGCTCAGGAACTCTCCCTGGAATCCTGGAAACCTATGAGTGAGCCCCACCACACCCAATTACAGTGGGCTGAGATACGGCCCCTTACACTGGGCTGCCTCTCACAATCAATCTACCACTGGGCACAGGCAAAATCTCAGGATGTGTGCGTCCAGGGCACCCCAAAAGGATCAGGGTCCCCAGGCCTCTTTCCATAGTTCCTGCAAAGCTGTGCTTTGTAGTGAGTGTCTCCCTGCCCAGTCCCGATTTCTCGAGGGTGGAGGACATGTGGGGTGGCCCTTGGAGGTCAGGTTTCTGTGCTACCTCTCAGAGGATGGTGAGGAAGACATGGATGTGGGGAAGCTTCTGACCTCTGCAGGGCCCAGTGGGAATGGGGCGGGGAGCAGAGCTGCAGTCAGGTGTGTGATCCTGAATGCACCTGGCAGGGAGTCAGATGCGATCAGCACTGAGCCTGGGCCCTGGGCAGTGCCAGCCTGAGGTCACCTGCTGAGGCCCCTGAGTCTTCTCAGCTAGGGCCAGGTGAAGGGGCAAGGTAGGTGGTGACGACAGCCGCTCCAGGCAGGCAGGTGGGCAGAATCAGGTCGCATCAGAATCCTGCTGGCTCATGTGCACTGGGGGGCCGCGGCCCCGGCGTCTCGGCCCATTGGCCCAGAGGGGAAGGGAAGGTTGGGAACGCTTTGTAGGACGAATGCTTAACCTACTTGTGCGATCAAATTATTTTCAAGGGTTTCAGCTGATCCATGTTCTTACTCAGGTGCTAATTACCTGCTATTCTTACCCATTTGTCCAATGGGTCCCTTCCAGGAGAATCTCTTAAACCTTCTCTACCGGCTTGCCTTAACCCTTTGCTCCTGGCCTCAGACTGGACAGAGCACCTGCCTGCAGGGCTGAGGGCCTCTGAAGTCCCTTACGGAAGCATTCTTCCGCTTCTCCACGTTGTACTAATGTGAACTCTGTGGATTAGCAAGGCCTCTATTCCCCCATCCACCAGTGGTCACCCCAGCCATTTTTGCTTTTTATTCTGACCAGCCCCAATGCCCAGCATCCTCTTGCCACCTTCCAAAGGGAGGTCCACTTCCAATGCTGCGTCCTCTTCCTCCTCCAGGAAGTTGTTCATGCATGCCCAAGCCACCATTCCTACATCCTGGGAGCAAGTACCCCAGATCAGAAAGGCCTGAACATTCACTGGGTGGAGGGCAGGTTTTGCCAGAGATAGGAAGGGAAGAGACACTGGAACCAGAACTGCATCTTGGGCAGTCTCCTGGTCTGTGTCCCAGGCCCCCAGGGAACAAAGGGAAGGGTCCCAGGGGTCTTGCTTTCCAAAGGGAGGAAGGCAGGGCCTGGACCCTGTGCACCTTATATGATGTTCCTGATGAACACAAGGCAGGTATTCTGCAAATGCAAGCTCTTGTGTGCACTGTAAGTAATAGCAAGGTCATGTCGTTAGCTCTACCAATGGCATAATAACTTCAAGCAGTCTGTACCTGTTCATTAATTGCCTCCCCTGACCTGTAAGATGACAACTGTGGTTAATCCATTTACTCAATAAGTAACTATTGAGTAACCAATTCTGGGCTGGGCCCAATGGAATCCATCACTGTGTGTTTGTTAAAAGATGCAGAACAGAGCCTGCCATATACCAAGCTGTCAGTAAACATCAGCTTCCTTCCCTAGGTACAAGTGCAGGAGTGGGTGGCAGGTGGAGGCCCGCAGAGGTGGAGGCTGAGCCTGCAGGCTCTTGGGGCCCCAGCCTCACTCCTCCCTCCCCCCTATCGGCTCGGCCTGTTTGCATCATCCTAAGAGTCAGGATGGTGCTAGGTCTCTAGGCATTGTGTCCCCCTTCCCACCCCTCGGGGCCATCAGAATACTTCTGTGCATGACATCGTCTGCCTCTTTCTGTAAAGTTTCCTCATCTCAGGTCCTGGGACATTGCAGTATGCCCATCCTATGGGCCTCTCCCAGATCTTGCCCACCTGGTCCTCTGCCTTGTGCTCCCAGCCCCTCATGCTCTGACTCCTTTCCTAGGCCTCATGGGCTGGGCCTCTGGCTTTTCCATGCTGAAATGCCACACCCCTCAGTTTTGACTTTGCTCAGCCTCCAGCCATATCAGACCAGCCCCTCACAGGGGAGGGGAGTGGGGTATGTGATCTCTCATGGAGGAGGTCCTCAGTAAAGGCAGAATGGACATAGATGTCCCCACTGCGCATGGGGTTCATATACTCATTCAATAAGCATTCGCTGCACGCATGACCTACCTGGTACCAGGCTTTCGTCAGGGTTGTGAGTAGTAGATGGCAGCTGAGTTGTCCAAGGACTAAATGGTGTGGCTCTCTGGCTACCCCCAGATACCAGAGCACTGGTCCCACCATGCATTTTGACTGCAGCCATTTTCAGGCTAGGCCTTCAACTCTGAGGCAAAATCCTGGTTGTGTGACTCATCCTGTGTGGCCTTCAGGTTTCTCAATGTCTCAGAACCTCAGTTTCCTCCTCTGGAAAATGGGCGTGAGTAAATTTGCTTGTCTTGTGATCACATCCTCTTTCAAGCCCTAGGATGTCATGGGGACCCCATAGCCAAGGACCTTCTGGACCTTCCCGAAAGCAAACCCGTATCCATTTCCAAATATGCTTCCTCCTGAGCCCTGAATATGATTAAGCCACCACCCCACTGGGCACAAGTGACAAGGTACTGTGAGTGACCACATCCAGTCACACAGAGATAGGGTGAATTGTATAATCTCCCAGGAGGGGACAAGTCCCTCCCTCAGGCTCACTCAGACTCCTGGCTCAAACCCTCAGTTTTTTCCTCTGTGAAATGGGAATACAGCTCTTTCTTTACCTCTGTTTCCTTTTCTGTTTTTGAGACAGGGTCTCACTATGTAGCCCTTGCTGGCCTTGAAGTTCAGTGATCCTTCTGCCTCAGCTTCTCAAGTGTTAGGATTATGGGCACTCACGCTGCACCCATCTGGAATATAGGTTTCTTTCCCCTGATGATTGTGAAGATGGGGAAATCCATCTTGCCATTGGAAAGGAAAACTGAGACACAGAGAGACCTGGATATCCATCTTCAGAGCAAGATAGGTCCTATTCCTGTGTGGGGACCTGGCTGGCCCATTCTTATAGTATCCCCTGGCCCTCCCTCATCCCTTGCCCTCTGATGCCAGGCCCTGCTGCTGAGAAGCGCCGAGGCCAGGAGCTTTCCTGGGACTGACAAGGGGCTCTGCTTGCCTCTGGCTTTTGTCTGAGGCTGCACACTGGCCAGCTGGGTAGGGCTCTGACCCAGCACTGGTGGGGACAGATCCCACCATGCCGAGTCCCTAGCTCTGCCGGTCTTCTGATAGATTCCTGCATCTGCTGGGGCAGGGCAGCACCTCCTGGGCAGTGGTCTCTTCTCTGAAGCTTCTGGACACACGAGCTAGGGCCAGAGGCCCTATAGCACATGTCCAGGGCTTTCATGCCAATTGCTTGTTGGGGCCCTGTGGACCATCTTTAGACCACCTTAGGTCCAGAGAGACAGGTGGACTTGCCCAAGGTTACACAGCTGCTACTCAGCAGAGTGAGGTATAGCTCAGAAACCACTTGCTCAAGGGGCAGAGAAGCACAGGCTTGGCGACCTTGGGCTGGTAATTTAACCTGTCTGAAGCTCAGTGTTCTCACCCGAAAAATGGAAAGACTCAAATTCCCAATCTGCTGGGTGATCATGAAGACTAAAGAAGTCATGTTATAAAGTGCCACTACAATCAGTCATCCCAGGACTCTAGGAGGCTGAGGCAAGAGGATCACAGTTCAAGCCCAACCTGTACAGCTTAGTGAGATTCTGCCTCAAAATAAAAAAGGCTGGGGATGTAGCTTGGGGTAAAGGCCCTGCATTCAGTCCCTAGTAGCTCAAACGAATACACAAACAAACAATCATGAGCAGTGACTGCACCTGTCATTGTAAGGACTCTCAGGTACCGTGCAGGTCATGCCTGGATGGAGCCTCAGGGGTCTAGCCTCGGCAGATGCCCAGTGGTCTGACATGAGGCTGCCCAGGCATCAACATGCCTTGCTGTTGTATCCCAGGCAACCCAGCCATGCACAGGGCAAGAGAGGTGCCCATCTGCATACCTTTGTCCTTGGTGAGGACAGGCAAGGTCTTCCCCGAAGGAGGAGGGCCTGATGCCCTCCCTGGGACTCTGTTCTTAGTTACTTCTAGGACCGAGGCTGGGCCAGCAGCCAGGTCTTCCTTTCCAGCTCCCTATACACTTGTACACACTGCTTTGAGGGGGCTCTCCCCTGAGAAGGGGACAGCTCTGGCCATGCCTCTGGAGACCAAGTTAGTGAGCAGGTATCTCTGTTATAGCTTTGCGGCCCATGGGGCCAAATCCTTGGCATTTTAAAATTTTATTATGACCGTGATTGTTTAAATATATATATATATATTTATAACTCTATATGCCCACCCCCCAGCCCCAGCCCTGGCCCCTAGTTTTTCCCACTGGCTTTCTGTCTGGTGCCCGTGTAGGGTAGCACTGTCTGTGTGCTCTTGTCTGATACCGTCTGGGTGCTGCTGTTCCTTGTGACCCGTCGGGTCTGTTCAGGGGCCAACATGGAACCTGAGCGGTGACCAGTCAGTGGGGAGCGCCGTATCTTGTACGGGGCTGCAGAGGGCTTGAGGGGTCCTTCATGGGGATCCATGTGTGGCAGCTCGGGGGCCAGGGCCCCCGCCTGCTCTTCTGCCGCCTCTATCTGGCCCTCCTCGTCGTCACAGCACAGAGCATGGTACAGTACTTTGTCACTGAACCGAACCCTCTCCCGTGTCCCCGGGGTCCGCTGGGGTAGCTGGCCTTTTGTGGGGCCGGCACTGAAAGCCTCCTCACTGGAGGAGTCCGGGGTCTCCACTCGGGGTCCGTTGGGGATGGGGGTGCCACCATTCATGAGCCGGTAATCAGGGCCAGCACCTGGCCGTGACGACTCTGGGCCGTCCACGGAGTCAGATGGGGTAGACACGTCCAGGAAGGAGCAGAACTCCCAGCTGTCCGAGAGGATGTCTGCTGTCATGAAATCCAGGTGGCCCAGGTCAAAGGGGCCACCCACACCTGCCTTGTCGCTGCTGGAGGTGCTGCTCACAGTGGCTGTGGTCCAATCATCCGGCTCAAGCTCGAAGTCGAAGTCTGAGGTTAGCTTGTCTATCTGGCTCACCACCTGGCCAGGAGAGGACCAGAGAGGAAGGGACTGGTGAGTGAACCTGGCCCTGGCCGCCCAGACTTTTAGCTGGCAACCTTATGGAGTGGTGACCACACTTGAGGTCTTGGGTTTGTTTGCATCCTGCAGGGACCTAATGGGACTGGAGTAAACAGAGCTAGGTCCAGCCACCCCTGGCAAATGGCTCAGACCCCTAAGTCCCCAGAGATGTGGGGGTGCCTGCCTTCCAGCTCTGCCCCCCCAGTCCCTCTTAAACACAGTTACAGCTCTGGAGGTGTGGACCTGGTGGCCACAGTTTGGCCTTTCTCTGATGCCACTAGAGAGGGTCCAAGTCTATGTATCCCCCCTGTTCTCAGATGTGAAGAGGAAGGACCCTGTCCCACTTCCCACGACATCCTGGACCAGTCCTCACAGGTGGTCAGCAACTCCCTCATGAGTCTTCATCAGTTCTTGGGATCCAGAACTGTGAGTGCGTGGCACTGTTGGGACTGGGTCACCCTCTTCCACTATACCTCCCCAGCCCGTAAGCTGCCTCCCTCTTGCTGTCCCTGTTGGCTGATGTACAGAGAGCACCCTCATTTGCTGGAGAAGGAATAAAGTGAGCGTTATTTAGTAGGCAATAAAAAAGCTGTCTGTCATGGTCCAGAGCCACCCATTAACTGTGCTTGGGGGCAGCGGGGCTGCAAAGGTCCCTGTACCCTGCTGTGCCCCTTCACAGAGGCCTCTGCTCAGGCCTCTCTGACCTACAACAGCCCCGTGCCTGCCCTCTGAGCATGTAAATCAGGGTGCAGGAGGGTGAGGGAAAGAGGGGGAGCCAGACAGAAACCAGGGAAAGGACGTAGCACAGAAGGGAGAGAAGTCAGGTAAAAAAGCAAACCCATGGAAGAGCAGCAGGTGGCGTGGCCATCAGCGCAAGAGAGACCAGTGACAGGGACCCTCAGCCAGTCACCAGGACCAGCATCTAGCCCCCAGCGCCTCCCTTCTCTCTCTTCTCTCAGAGCAGTTGATGCATTCATGCACTAATTAGGTCCTTAACAATTGCTTCCCAAGGTGGACTGCCCGCCAGGGATGTGGCATCTCCGTGGCAGGGGTGGAGTGAGCACCCCAGAGGTGAGGGTGGAAATGGGGCGACAAGGTGCTTCGGGAGCAGCAGCAGCGTGGGTTTATGTAAAGACTGCTCTTATGTGAAGGCCTGGCTGGCCCTGGTTCCTCTCTAGGCCTCAGTTTCTCGATCTACAAACAGGGAGCATGGATGAACTAGTTTATCTGCAAGGTTCCTCACACTTCTAGGTGAGATTTGGGGTCTTTGTTTCTAGGGGTGACTTGAGAAGCTGCTTTGGGTGATGATACCTAGGGACGTCCCTCATATGGCCAGGTCAGTAGAGGAATCATGAGGCTGCAACCTGCAGAACCAGGGCAGTCAGGACATCAGGGGACCAGACTTAGTGTAGCCCCTGCTGTGTGACTTCGGGGTAAGTCACATAAGCTCAATTTCATTTGCCACCAAGTGGATGTAAGGCTTCCAGGCCCACCAAACTCCCGAGTTTCAGAAAGACCCATGAGAAGAGCAGAGGAAGGAAACCCGGCAGAAGGGGTATAAGTACAACACCATTCCCCACCTGTGAGACCTACTGTGTGCCAAGCTTCCAGCCTGGCCCTTGAGATCATCCCACAGGTCCAAGGTGTGTTTTGAAAACTCCTGACTCAGTATGAGGGATCTAAGGGGGTGAAGATGCAGCACCAAGGCATAGGGAGCCTCAGGGCAGGCCCTGCACTGAGCAATGCCCCAGGTCTGGGGGCACAGTTTTGAGGGTGCTCTGGTTGAGAACCATGCGCCCACTATGGCTCGGGCTCAGGGGAGGCCAGCTTGTATCGCTAGCTCTTTCTGGTGGGGGGTGGGTAATCTAGAGGGAGTCCTGGGTTCAAATCCTAACTGCCTGCAGATAATAATCCTACTCTAACTTGTGGTCTCCTATCCTGCTGAAGGGGGACGACACCCGTCTCTGTGGCCAGGGTGACAAAGACTGAACAGATAAGACTGCTTTAAACAGCAGAGTCAGGACAATCAAACCATTGAGGACCTGAGCCCCAGCCTTGATTCATTACTTTTCAGCTGGGTGACCTTGATCAAGTTACTCCACTTCTCGGCACTTCTACTTCTTTTCCAAAGGGGAATTCTAGTAGCACCTGGAGCTGCGAGAACTTGAAGACCCAATGCTCTGGGCAAGCACACAGAACAAGATAGACAACCAGTAGCCACCATGCACCGCAGGCAGGCACACATGTCCAGGGAGCGGATGTGACTTCATGCAAGGCATGACACTCTGGCTCTGGCAGCGAGGGAGGAGGGGGGTGTTCTGGCGTACACAGGCAGGACCTTTTGTCTCATGAGGATCTCACTCCAGACCAAAGAGAGCCCAATGGCTCCCAAAGCCAAAGGACTGTGAGGTCACAGGCAAGTATGGCCCTGTCTACTGGGAGAGCCACTTGAATGACAGAAGTGAGATCAGGAGGAGAGGCCAGGTGGCCAAGGGTACCCAGTTTCTGGGAGGGCAGGCATGGGGCAGGCTCTGTGCTACCTGCCTCTCTGCTTTGGGTGTCTTACAATCTGTGACTTCCCTCTGGGATTTAATAATCATTTGCCTACATGTAATTTAGATTTGTCTTGGAGTGCGGGAAATAAGTATAAACATAGAAGGGGTGAGATGGGGAGAGAGAGGATGGAGAGAGAGATGGAACTCTAAAATCACAGAGTCACAGGAGCCCAAAGCCAGAAGGGCCTGGGAGATTCCACCTGTCTCCTCCTTGGGCTTACAGGTGGGAAGCTGAGGCCCAACACCAAGCAGGAACTCAGATGAGACCACAGATGAGTGCTGATGCCTGAGCTGGCACCTTAAAACCAAGAGGGAGCCAAGAGCAAGTGCAAGAGAGACTGGGCAGGGCTGAGGGCTCTAACAGACCCCTGGGTGTCCCTAACCTCTGTCCTGGTCACAGCCTTAGCTCCCTCCACCTGGACAACTGCACCTCCCTAATCTGCCCAACTACAGCAACTTCCTGTCCAGCCTTGCCTGCTCCCTTAATCAATCCAGGGATTAAACAATCGGGGAGTCTCCCCAACACAGCCCCTCCACTGCCCTCTCCACTGGCTGCTCCTCCAACTGCTTCTGCCTGGGGCTCGCGTGGCTGCCCCATATTGCCCCAGCCCATCTTCCGCAGCCCTGGCTGAGCCCTCTCTGTGAGGACTGCACTTCTGTGTCCCCTAAGACCAGCCAGCCAGGTCTGAGGACCTGGCCCCAGCACCCCATCCTTTACCTCTCCCAACTAGCTGCTACCTCCATTCCTTTCTCCCAGCTTCCTGGGCAGCTGGTTACATAACTGTGGGTTCTGCATTATTTATGGCCACTGATTATTTTTTAATTCTGTGATTACATTGTTTATTATCTTCCTGGGGGGCTGTGGCGTAGGGGAGACAGGGAACGAGCTGACCATGATTCAATGCTCTCATCCTGCAATTTGGCCTAATTGGCCAGGGAGCTTCAGTGAATCTGTCCGGAGGAGGAGAAGGCAAAGGGAAAAGGGAGGAAAGGAAGGTGTGACCAAAAAATAATAGGAAAGAAATCCGCGCAGTGTGTGCTATGCTGTGGGTGACAGAATTGACCCACTTTGGCTCAGGCCTGAGGTCCCCAGCCTCTCTGGCTCCAGCTGCTTCCTGCCTGAGCCACCTTTACTTCTTGCAAGGCCTGTGGCTGGCTGGCTGGCTGGCTGGCTTTCTTTCTTTATTTGGTACAGGGTCTCACTACGCAGCTTGGACTTGTGGTGATCCATCTGTTTTCAGCCTCCCCAGTGCTGGGACTACAGGCATGCACCACCATGCTGGGACTCCACTCAGCATGCCCAGGGGCAGGGCCCGCATGGCATGTGGAGCCCAGGGTCGACTCCTGGTCCCTGTTCTTGCCTAAGCAGGCACTTAGTCTGTTGAGCTATCTCACCGGCCCACAGCCTGTGGTTTTCCCGGCCACTTTCAGACATGGCACCTTGCCATGGGACCGCACAATTGGGCAGCTGGAGACAGGTTGCTGCGGTGCTCACTTCCTGGGACAGTCAGGGGCAGGGGACCCTCCACTGCCATCCCTGGCTGAAGGAAGGTTGTGCCCAACCCTGCATCCTCCTGGGGTGTTTAGGCCAAGGTGAGCAACTGCGACCTTAAGTTATGCCTTACCAGGAATCATGGATGATGTGGGGAAGACAGGAGACAGGTGCTGGGGCCACCTTTAAATCCCAAAAAGGAGGGGCTTGCCACCAGGCAGCCAAGGAGGAGGACCTCTGCGCTGGTGTGGAACTGGGGTGAAGGGGGGGCAGGGAGGCAGGCTCCCCCAGGAAGGAATACAGTCAGAAGGTTCCAGGGGAGTGCATGGCACTCTCGGAGAACAAATTCAAATTCCAGGGCTGGAGCTCGCAGCAACTCCCCTGCCTTGGCTTCCCAAGTGCTGAGACTATAAGCGTGCGCCACCATCCCCGGCTCGATGCCATGCTCTGCAAGCGTAATGGCGCCCACCCACTCCCTGTGCCCTCTGTGCCCCTCATCTCTCCTTTTCCAGTTGTGCTGGACACATTACACACCAGCATGCATCCTCTTCAAGGCCTGGGACACTGCCTCCCTGGTGGCAGGTGACACTGTCTTCATTTCCCTCAGGTCTCTTCAAAAGCCACCTCCTAGGAGACCTTCTTCCCACCCGATCCCCCTGGCCCCATCTCCCTGGCCCCATCTCCCTTTCCTTTTGGTGGTGGTGTGGACTGCTTACTGCAGGGGCTCTAACTGGTCTTAGCCAGGAGGTCAGGATCTGGCCCTGTCCTCCCTGTTCCTGCCTAAAAAGCTGTGTGACCCCAATGACAAAGCTGTCCATGTTACTGAGAAGCAGGCCAGTGCTGCTATAACAGTTCAGTAACCAAACCTTGTCGGTCATTCCAGCACTTGGGAGGCTGAGGCAGGAGAATTGCTATAAATTCAAGGCCAGCCAGAACTACAGAGTGAGACCCTAAAGCAAAAATCCGAAAACCAACCAACCAAATGAACAAAAACACAGACTAGGGATGTGGCTCAGTGGTGGAGGGCTTACTGGTACCCATAAGGCCCTGCTTAGACCCTCAGCACTGTAAAAACAAAACACCCCAAACCCAACAGACATGGTGCTTTGTGGCCATCATGGGGCTAAGTACTTTATAATTTATCACTTTTAATTCTCCCAACAGTCCTGGGGACAGGGGCTGAGGAAAAGGCAAAATTTCATATCTTCGTCTTACAGATGGGAAGACAGAAGCACAGAGAGGTAAAGCAACATTCCTTTGGTCACACAGGACTGGAGCTCAGATTTGAACTGAAGGCATCTGGCGGCATCCTAGCCTCTGGGCTGTGCTGCACCTCTAAATTAAGATCCAGGAGTTCTGAGGAGCTTAGGAGCCTGCTGGGATTGTCTGGAATGGTGAATATGGGGAGCCAGGGAGGAATGAGGGCTAATTAATGTCTGATGGTCACATCTCTCTGCAGCACTCAAAGCATTTTCACATTCCTTACCTCACCCAGTCTTTAAGAGCGATTCCACACTCTGAGATGGGACTTGCTCCCCATCAAGCGGGTGGGGGTGGGGGAGGGGTGGACCTGCAGTGGGACTTGGAGTAGAGAGGGTCACATGGGAGCGGGAAATTCAAATCCCCTAGGGGCACAGCAGTGCTGCACCGTCCCTGGCACTGAGCACTTGCAATGTTACTGTGAGGCGCAGGTCACCATGGTCCCCATTTCAGGGACTTGGGGGGGAAAGGCTGGGGTGTAATTCAGCTTTCCATGAATTCCAGCTGGATACTCAGAGCGGGGAGGCTCTGCCTGGACGGGTGGTGCCTGGAGCCAGAAATGGGGAGCTGTGGATAGGAGGATGATGGTGGAGGGGACCTAGGCCAAGTCTTCCTCTCTGCTCCTTTATCCCCACCCTCGACATCCTGATCTGTAGCTTTTGCCCCCACTTCCAGGTGCTCTGCTGAAAGGTGCAGTGGGGGACAGGGCAGGCGTAAACTGGGAAGTGGGCTATGATATGAGCCCCCTGTCCTCAGGTCTCTGGACCTCAGGCTTTCCAAGTCCCCCTTAGAGAAATGCCAGCTGACTGGCTTGACAGTCCCTTTGGAGGACCATAGCCAGGATCCCCAGTTTTGGGACCAATCAAGGCCTCATACCCCACTTGGTAACCTTACCCCTGGTGGACTCCATGCCACAGGAAGCTGGCCGTGCATCTCCCGCCTGGGCCTCCTCCACACTCCTCTCTAGCCACTGCCCCATGTCCAGCCCTGCCTGGAGGATGAGGAGCTCTGAGCTTGCCTCCCCCCACCCCCCAGCTGGGTGCCATTGGCAGCGGGCAGGCAGTGGCATACGGGGTAGACTCTGGTTGTCATAGCAACCCACCAAACTCTTGGGTGGAGGCACATGGCCCACAGGGGATGTGGGGGAGGGGACCCATCTTCTGTGTCCTGGTTCAGGCTTTGGAGCTGCACAGCCTGTGACCTGGAGCTCTGCTGTGGGGGACATGGTAGGGAGTGAGCGTGGTGGGAAGAGGGGACATCTAAGGCGCTGCAAAGAAACCTTAGTGCTACGTCATCATGGCATGAGCAAAGGGTATTATTTCCTGAAGGTCCCGGTCAAAATGCAAAGAGACACTGCCATGGTAGTACAGGCCTGTGATCCCAGGACTCTGGGTGGCTGAGGCAGGAGGACTGCTATGACTTCGAGGCCAGCCTGGATTACAAACTGAGTTCAAGGCCAGTCTGAACTACATAGCAAAACTGTCTCAAAAAAGACCTAATAATAATAATAATAATAATAATAATAATAATAATACAGGAGCACCCAGGAGCCTACCTGCTGAAGCCCCAGAATAGACATCAGACACCTGTATTACAAGTTCCATTCTGCCTCTGGTATGCTGTGTGACCTTGGACAGTCCCTATACCTCTCTAGGCTATACTTTCTTCAGGACACAGGGCAGGCTTGGATTACCTGTGAGGTCCTCCTAAGGTGTAGATGGCTATGTTGGAGAAGAGGGTATGCAACTGTCTGGAAGATGTCTGGCTGGGAGTAAGATCAGTATTATATTATGCTCTATAGTTCTATTGAGCATTCAGAAACATCCTCTGTGTGTGTGTGTGTGTGTGTGTGTGTGTGTGTGTGTATACACCCACGGTTTACCCTCTTGGTAAACTGACTCCCAGGGTCAGAGCCAACTCCTTCTGGTTGAGTCCACTGGGGCCTGGGACCCCTGGTTAAGATGAGATTGTGAACAGTTCCATGGTCCAGCAGAACTACAGAGCATTCAAAACAGGACGGGGTGGCAGAGGAGACTGTCCCCTTTGGCCCCTTGAGGCTGGAGGAGGGAGGTTGTTCAGGGGCTTCTAGACATTGATTCTCAAACTGTACAGGCCACCAGTGCTCAGCCCAGACCACTGCCAGTCCAGCCCGGGGCAGAAGCACCTCCACCTCTGTCCACCTGCAGTCACCATCGTTCCACCTCTTAACACAGGATTTCCTGGCAGGCCCAGGGCAGTTCCTGTCCAGAACCTTTGCAACTCCTCCCCCACCTCCAACTCTGAACACAGCTCCCTCCAAACAGCCCAGCTCCTTGGCTCTCGGTCCAGGCCGGAATGCCATGTTGGCAGCTTGGAGTTGGTACCCGCATCGCCTACCTCCCCAGCCCCAGTGCAGCTGGCCGGGGAGAGCCGGCCCATAACTCCCGCTCAATCACTCTCCCTGCCAGCTCTGCAGGGGCCCTGGTTACAAGGAGTTGAAATTTGCCTAAAGCCCACCTGGCTGGTGTAATGGCACCCAGCGGGCAAATTCAGGGCAGCGGCTCAGAACGCTGGTCATGCATTTTGGGCTTGAACACAGCCCAGGGGGCAGGGCTGAGGACATGTGTACCTCATTACCCCAGCAATGTGCGAAGCAGTAATTAAACCAGGCTCTACTTAGAGAGGGACACACATACTCCAGCATTTCTCAGTGACTTTAGGGCCTTGGCAAAAACATTCAGAAACATCGTGTGTGTGTGTGTGTGTGTGTGTGTGTGTGTGTGTGTGTGTGTGCACATGCTCCCATAGTTTACCCTCTTACAGGAGGTCCTGGCATCTGCGAATGGGCACAGAGAAACCTGGTCCCCACTCGCAGCTCACGAGGCCCATTCTGACCCCAGCACAGATTCCCTCAGGGTCAAGGGTTCTAGGTATCTGTCATCTGTGGGGTTACTTTTGATAAGGGCCTCTCCCAGTGAGCACTGTCTCAGTCAAGCCAGTTCAGAGTCATAAGAAAGGTGGATGGAAGAGTCAAGGGTCAGCTTAGGTTCCAGAAGAGTGTCTCTCACTAAGAAGCCATGCTGGGGTTTGGTCCTTACTGGCCAACGTGGCACCCCTGTGTGGTAAGCACAAAGTGGGTTCACCGACACACTTCCCAAGCAATCTCTGTGACCACAGCATGTGCAGGCCTGAGGTCCGGTGAGGTTATTAGCAAAGTAGATTGGGGTACAGGAGACCAAGACAGGAGGTCTCCAGCAGAGGGAAACACATGCCCACAGCTCTGCACACTCTCACACACGGGTCCATGTTCATGCCAGGCCCAACCAGGCTGGCCAAGGCCTGTGTGCCCCTCACTCACCTCCCGCAGCTCCTTGGCCACCTCCTTGAGCTCCCGCAGGATGCCTTCAAGCTGTCCGATGACCATCTTCATACGCTGTCGAATTCGCTCCCGCTCACCACCACTGTTGGGGTCGTCACTGGGCTGCCCGAGGTCCGGGGCCCCCCGAATGTTCATCCTTCACCACGTGGCCACAGGCCTGCCCATACTCCCCCCAGCCGGGCACACACTGCGACTGCCTCCACGGAGACACCCTCGGCGGGGCAGAGCTCCACATCTTAACGGCCCCCCAGCCCACCCTGGCCCTGGGCGGCCCACACCCAGCCCCTGCCCCCTGCCACTCCGCCTACTCTGCCTCTGGGTGGGGAACAGAGCACCCAGAGGGAGACAGAGTCTGACACAGGGGTCAAGGCGAGGACACGGGAGGGCAGGGGGAGGGGCCTTGGGTCCCAGGAGTGGCCTCCAGGACTTGGAGTGCGGAGCCTGCCCAGGGGGATGACTCTGCAGCGAGTCAGGGTAGAAGATGCCCTTGGGACTGGAGGCAGCAGCAGTCAATCCCCTTGCAACTCCGAGGCAGCCTCCAAGGCAGAGGTCTCTGGATGCTGCAGACACCAGCAGAGGGCCAGTGGCCGGGGTCTCCCAGATGTGGAGGAGGCTCCAGCTGTGGGCGGCTCTGGAGAGCGAGCTAGGCTGGAGGAGGGCAGCCCCCTGCGGAGAGAGCCGAGCCTGGCGTCAGCCCTCCCAGGCTGCAGCACCGCCAGCAGAGCTGCTTTCTCGCTGCACCCTGCCTCGCTGGGGTTTATTTATTTTTTCTTTGGGGGGAGAAGTGGTGGAGGCAGATGGCGTTCAGCGCACCCCTCCTCTAGGAGGAGATTAGGGGAGCCCCTGCTTCAGAGGCAGAAGTCCCCAGCCTTCTCTGGGGCGCCCTGGTCGCGCATTCCCCACCCCCACACTCAGCCGAGGCAGCCTCCCTGGTTCACCCAGGGCCTCTGGGGTCCCCCTTCACCCCTCCGAGTGTCCCTCGGGTGCCCCATTCCCGGGTACCCCCCTACCCAGCCCCGCCTTTCCAGGACTCACCGAAGGTGGGGGCTCCGGCCTTCCCTCCACGCGGAGTCGGGGGCTGAGTCCCCAGGCGAGGTTTGGGGGCCCCCAGGCTCCCTAGGGCGGGCTTCTCTCTCTGCACCCTTCTGCCCCTGGCCTCAGGGGGGTCCTGTGCGCCGTGGTCGGGGACATCGGGGCGGCGGGAGGGGGCGGGGCCTCGGCACTACAAAACGCCCCAACGACCCCTTCCAAGCTCCGAGTCCGGAGGGCTTGGGGCTCTGAGGCCACAGGTGACCCAGGCGCTGGGCGGCGGGACGACGCCGGGTGGATCCCAGCGAGGAAGCCGGAGTCACGGGGCCGGGAGGGCGCGGGCTCCCCCAGCTCGGCGCTGGGCTCACTCCGTCCGGTCCAGTCAGGTCCGATACGGGTCGGTGGATCCTGGGCTTTCCTCTGCGCGACTGGCACTCCTTGCTCTCTGGACCCCAAGATCTGCTCCCGGCACCCGGGGGGTGCAGCGGAACCAGGAAGGTGCGAGTCCGCAGGTCCCGAGGGAGGGCGGTGTGGGCCGCGGGGACTCGGATCCGCGGGCCCGGCCTGGCCCGGCTGGGTTCGGCTCCCGGGCACGGGCGGAGAAGAGAGGCTCGGGGAGGAGGGGAGGCTCGGGGAGGCGATGGGAGGCGGCGCGGGCCGGGCCGGGCTCCGCACTCGCAGCCCCAGGTCTGTCCGGCCTCCCCG